AGCCGGGGCTGCAGCCTCTGGAGACTTGACTGGCGCTGCAAGATTGGCTTCCAACTTCGCTCACATGGCTGTTGCCAGGAAGCGTTAGTCTCTTTCCGTGGCTCCTCCCAGAATGAGTGATCCAAGAGAAAGAGAGTGAGAGTGACCACGGCAGAAGCTGCAGTGCTTTTTATATTCTGATCTCAGGAGGGACATCGCATCACATCTGCTGAGTTCTATTGGTCACACAAATCCTGGGAGCAAATTACACAGGGTCCAAACACCAGGAAGCAGGGATCACTGGGAGCCACTTTGAAGGGTGGTTACCACTTTCCCCAAGAACCTAAAACAGTGAACAAGCCCAATAAACACTTGCTACTTTGGACTGAACTAACTGGTGGTTGGCAATTCAGTCCACGTATAATGTTCCAAGTCTTTGACGGGTGACTGGTTAGGTCGCCCCAGTTAAGTTGTCAAGTTAGCCCACACCTGAGTAGAGCTCAATGCCTGTGCACCATGGTAACCAAGGAATTGAGAGGAACAAAATATGACTGAAGCAAACATACCAGTTTACTAATTGTGAGAGTACACAGATGAAGGACTAGTGGCAATATGTCAGTCACACAGGCGTCCTCTTGCTTAACCATGAATCCTTCCTCATTTATAATTAGTCAAGTCTCCTACTATGAGTGGCTAGAAGCCAGCTTGCAGCCTGGCATGGCTCTGGAAGACCTTGTTTTGTACTTCTTCCTCCTACCTCTGCCCCTACTAACTCTTGCGTGTTTTGTTTTTTTTTTTTAAGTTTGTTTTTTTTTCACGATTAGGTTTTGGCCTTTAGTCTGAAATGTTTGCTTGGCTAGTCTTTGCCTTTTCAAGTAGTTTCGTCTTTGCATGCTAGCTGCAAGGATGCTGCAGGCACTGTGAACACTTGACCCTTGAACAACAAGGGTTTGAACTGAGCAGGTCCACTTATATGCAGATATTTTTCAATAGTAAATACTACAGTGCTATGTGATCTATGGGTGGTTGAATCTATGGATGCAGAATCACAGATACAGAGGGGCTGTGGATCTGGAAGAACAGAGTATATGGAGGGATGACTGGAAGTTACACCTGGATTTTCAACTATCCTGGGGAGGGGGGTTGGGGCTCCTAGCTCCTGCATCGTTCAAGGCTCAAATGTACCATTGACTTCAGGCTTCTCCTGTGGCTCCTATCTTTCTACCTCATCTCCTAGCATGGAGATTTCAACAAACAAACTGGGGAACTGGGGAACAGCACACATGGACACAGCAATGCATTGCTAACTGTTTCTGCCCTCATGTGGCTCTGTTTCCTACAGGCTAGACTAACTGCTCAGTCTTTGCTGCTGCTCCTGAGGATCTTTCCCTCTGCTTCTCAAGGGCTCACACGCCTATTGGCCACTTGACAGTCCTCAGCTTCTCAATTCCAAAGGGATCTTGGTTACAGGGAGAGGCCAGACAGTGTAATTAAACATGCAGGCTTTGAAATATACAGATAGGGGCGTATTTGGTGTGTTGCTGGATGAGCTCTCTAGCCTCTTCGTGCTCGGTGACATAGGGGAAATACTACTTCAGTTTGTTTTAAGGATTATGTTGGTCGGGTCCTGGCCGGAAACTGATTTCAACTTACATTGTTCAAATGAATGAATTACTATGAGAGACATGGAGGCAAGCGAGCCTGGGAGGTGCAGCCTGGAGGGTTCAGCTTCCAGGCACACCAAGCAGGGCAGAGATGGCTTAGAGAAGGAGTTGAGGGGCCAGAGACTGGCCAGCACTACAAATTAAATGAGAAAGCATGTAGTGTACTTTCCACACGACCTGGCACATGCATAGTAAGCAGTCATGGTTACTATTAGCCCTACTATGGCTGCTGGGTCAGTGGACTTTCTGGTTACACCTGATGTCATGTTGCCCCTCTAAGCAAGAGCCACGGGGATGTGACTTCACAGTCACAAGGCCCTGGTTTCACAGCACACGCTTTCTGATCTGCTCAGTCTCACGGCTCCGTCTCTGCTGATACCAGGGCTTCAGTGATCTAGTCTCTGTTTTCATCAGGCTAAATCAGGCTGTTTAGCCTGTCCCCAGGTTTGAAGCAAGAAAAAATGATTTCTAAGCAAAGTTCTTTTGAGAAGACTGTCCATCTGGGGACCACAGATCCCTTTCCATATGGTCAGTTTCAAAGACTCTCCTTCTTCCCTCATATCTAATGAGCAGAGATAAAATGGTCATGTTAATGGAAATTGCCTTGCACTCCAACTGCTGCTGCCCTAGCATAAAATCCATGACTTCATAAGGGCTTATAAATGGTTTTTAAAGTCCTTTCCCTCGCCACTGTTCAGCTGGCTGCTGTCTTTCCACAGCTTTGCTTTCATCCCTGTCGCTGGTCCAAGGTGTCAGAGGGTCTGATGTTCCCTGCCCCCATTACCGCCTCTAATCACACCTCTCTCTTCCTTTCGCCTGCCGCCTTTTCCACCCCCTCCTTGGATCTCTTGTCCCATTTCTCATTCTTCTCAGCTTTCACGCTTGTAGGCTGGCCTCTTAGTCACCACACACAGCCAATCAGACTGGTTTCGCCCTTCAAGGAGACAGGCTGATTAAATCACCGCAGGTGAGATAGAATCTTTGGTTCTTTGACTTTTCTTGGCTGCTTGTTGTAGCTCAGCGACCCAGGTTTGAGGTTTCTGAAGGCTGAATGTGATCACTGACCTCCTTGCACTGTAGTAAAATCTGTGCAGTCTGGTTGAGTGTGTGTTGCAGGCAGGTCAGTCAGTGAACTGGGTATGGCGCAGAAAAGCAGAGACGTGGGACTCTGGGGCAGGGTCTTACACGGGAACTCTCCCCATCACCCGCCTTCGGGCAGAAAAGGTGAACCAACATGAATTGAGTTCTCTTGGAGCTCGGTGCCAGGTACTTCCAAACAGCAGCTACAGCTCTTGGTGGGGCTCCTTCCATTCTGGGCAAAAGGAGCTGAGGGAGGGGGCAAGGGTGGGGTAGGGACGATTTAGCAAAATCTTACTGGAGGGAAATGAATTGCCTTTTGGGATTCAACTGACTCACTTGATGGTTGAGTCTCTGAGGTCTCTCCCAGTGAACAGAGGGCACCATCTCCCCAGGGCGATGCTAAACCTGTCCAGAGCCAATCTGTACATTGGTACTTTAATTTTTTCTTTCAAATATTAGCTCTTTGCAAGAGGAAACTACTTCAGATTTTAGAAATCACTGAATCTTAACCATAAAATGAAACTATAATTACAGGAATAAATTATTTCTTTGCATCTAGATTGAGATGTTAACTTCTGATGAAGGAGAGAACTTCCTAAAGTTCACTTAGTTTTTCTTAATCGACTGTATATCTCTATAAAATAAAGTCAATGCTGAACATGTTTTATTCAATATTCTGTTGGCTCAGCAAGAGAAACAAAACCCATAAAACCCATGGGCCCTGACCTTAAAGAACTGAAAATCTTGATGGGCAAACAAGATAAAGTTCAAAAATTATTAGAGCAATTTAAAACCAGATACGTGTATATTTTATGAACCTAAATACTGACTAAATAATTGAGCCTAAATTGTGTGGCCCTTAAAATATGTACGTTGGATAATCACTTTTAATGGCACATGAAAAGTATGAATTCCATCATTCTTAATATATTTACTCTGAAGACTTGTAACTTAAAAGCTCTTTAGGAAACAGTGCTGTACATTGTTAGGATTCAATCCAAGGTTTAAATTTCGTCATAAGAACCGGGCTGACTGGATTTGATAGGATTAAGCTTGGCTTTCAAAGTAAATGCTGAAAGAGCAAAGGAAATGACCTTCATCCTGTAACAAATCAATTCAGGTGCCATTAAGAGGTCTTCATTTTCCCAGCATGTCTGGGACTCACCTTTTAGCTTTTGAAGATCTGAAAAATTCTATCATGAACAGCAATTGTTTTATTTATGAAGAAGGTCAGAACTACGATATGTTAACCTATAAACTAAGGACAGCACAGTTACCTGGACCCTCTTGCTATACCCCAGAACAAAGCTAACAGTAGCCCATATTCAGGCATGTGTTTGACTACTGACCAGAAAAGCTCATTCTAGGCAGTACTAATTCCGTAAAAGCAGAAATATTCAAGTCAGCTACAGCATCCCAGCCCTAATTTAACAGTCAGCGTTTAATCCACTTCCTTCCTCATCTCTTACCATAGCAACAGCTGATGGAGTGATAAACCAAGACCACCAAAGACCAAGGTATAATTTGTCTTTTTCTTGTAAGATGGTCATTAACTCAATCAATTAACTCAACAAGATTCTCAGTGGGAGAAGCACAGAGGTCATTAGCAAAGGACCACCCCCTAATCCCTCCAAATTTTTCACCATTAAACATTTTCATCACTTGTTTAAAGGGCATTAAAAAAAAAGTCTTATCACCAAGGCATAGACCACAAACTCACTTGTAATCATATTTGCAAAGTTAAACCTACACTTCAACCAAATAGTATTCCTGGGAATTGCTACCCAAAAGGTAGCTTTAAAGGGGGAGAGGGAGGGGGCTAACAACGCCCATCAACAGTGGATAAACTGTGATACGTTCATACAACGGAATGCTACCTGGTAATAAGGAGACTATGAATATGCTCAACAACATAAATGGATCTCAAAAAATGAACAAAAGTCACACAAAGAGCACATATATGATTTCATTTATATGAATTCCTAGAACAAGCAACACTAACCTATGGTGACAGAAGTCAGAACAGTAGTTTTGTGGGGAGGGATTAGCATGAGGGAGTTTTCTGCTGGAATAACAGAAAAGTTCTGTCTCTTCATTGGGGTTGCAGCTGCCAAACCTCATACTACACATTTAAAATCTGTGCATTTTATTGAATGTAAATTATACCTCAGTTTTTTAAAAAAGCACCATCTATCTAGTGAATTCTAAAGTTAAGTATATTCTACCACTGAAAGCATCTACTGAATTTTACTATTAATTAAAAACCAACACAGGTCATTCAGAAAGCAGATATGAAGCTTTAATTCACTGGGCATTTCTCTGACCATTTTCTGTATTATATATAAACTCTTCACATTTCTTCACAGAGATATATCTTTTGTAAGACAGTTTTTTCCCAAGTACTGTGCACCATACCACCACTGCATTCAACTAGTTAAGGGCAGAGTATGGTACCATGAGCCACTGACTAAATACAGAGGTTGATACATATGTTAGAAAGTTTAAATTGAAAAAGTTTAAGAAAGGCTAAATACCAGGAAAGTCTACATGTATTCTTTAATTCTAGATATCACATCACAGTGACAACCAATTACAATAAAATCACAATTTCTTTTGGATGATAGTACATTCAGATTTCTAGCATCCATTTTTTTTTCCATTTCTACACCGCATTTTTATTTCTATAGAGTAGACAGGCTTTCGGACTGCAGACAAAGTGTAATAATATGAATTACTATCTTGATCATGACCACAGGAAACCAAATTTATATATAGTGTACTATATCGAGACAAGACTTTTATTAAATATATAATAATACAGAACTCTATAGTGGTGGTGTTCAAGAGAAATTCAAATAATAGCCTGAAAATGAGTTTTAACTGTTATTGCATTCTAATATATTTCATTAAAAGATGAAGTCTCTGTCAAAACATTTATAAATAAATATATAGTGCTTTCCCCCCCTCCAAAATACTGCCTAGGAGAAAAGTTCCAAGCTGACTCAAGGGGGAAAAAACAGACCTCAGAAAACAAACATTATATGATGTTCTGAGCTGCAATCTTCCTGAGTCTGTTTTCAATTGCAAGAAATTTTGCAGCCAATTCTACATTGCTTCAGTGCCCACATTCCAGAGGGAGTCCTTGAATACCTAGTTCATATTCCACAGAAATCTGAAAGGACTCCTAGACATCCCTCAACTAATTACACAAGGGAAAACTGATCATGTTTTGTATTAAATATCTATGAAAATCAAACATAGTCATAGCCATGCTTTAACAGTAATGCTAGAATTAACTAATGAAAATATATGCACAGCTGTACATTAAACACAGGAACAAAATGCCATTTGATGCATATCAAATAAGCTTCCAAAAAGCCAATTTGAATATATTTATTTTCATTTACTTTGATACAGCACTGGAAGAGACTGCATATAATTACAGAGACTGCTGCGAACAACACTTGATGCCACTAAGTGTTTTATTAAGCATCAGGCATGCACAAGTTACCTCTTAAAATTTCTCATGAATATATCTTAACATTCCTATTTATAAGCTACAGTATGTTTGAAGCATTTAGTGACTTTTAAGCCAATTATTTTAACTGACCTATGTCTAAGTGGAGAAAAACAAAAACTTCTTCCCCGTCTCAACACCAGCAGGTAAGACTTTATTCCCCAAAATTCTGGATTTGAATTTATTTCATATATGTCATCTTTACAATTCCAAAAGTGATGAAAATTCTTATCACTACTAAATTAGAAGTATGACTTGTCAGCAGCAGTCTACCCACCACACATTCACAGCACGCCAAGCTTTGGGGATTACACGGTAAGAGCGATGTGCTGGTGGCTACAGATGACAGTAACTGAACATATCAGTCTCTTCTCTTTTTTCTGGATCTTTTTATTTCAAACTAAGTTAAGCCTTTCATTAATACAGACTAAAAAAGTTCTCTTTTATTTAACATCAATATGAGTAAATAAAACTAAAAACCTTTATTGTCTTCAAGTGTGTGGCAAAACAGAAAATGTTTCAATTACATTAGGTAATCAGGGGCTGGGGAAGAGAGTAGTTTGTTTTTTCATTCAAGAAGCATTCCAGTCAAATAATCACAAACACAAATTCAGATTGCTTGGTTCTCGGTTGTTTATGGCTTAAAGTACTGGATTTGAAAACTACTCCAGGTAAAAATAAATTTATATGAATAATGCATAGATTGTATATCTAGGAAATCATGCAATAAATAAATGTCCTCACACACTGGAATCTTGGTGATGAAAGGGGTCTGCAGGTGTGAACAGTAATTTTTTTTTCCTTTCACCAGCGGAGTACACCCAGCAAGATCCTTGCTTTTGGCCTGTTCAAGCTCCTATCTGCCAGGTCATCCTGATTTGCTCAGACTGATAAAAGATGTCACAAGACAACTGCAATAAGGGACTGACGGGCCCCAAGTGCAGGTGTGCGGGTGCCGTGAGGTCCGGGCTAGGCAGGGCGAGACTCCTGATCCTACCGCCCTGCTGCAAAAGCAATGTGGAGGACCCGACCGACCAGAGTGCCAAATGGGGAAATGCTTACAATGACCCACTGGAAGTGTTTATTACGTTCACTAGTATCTTTTAAAAATCTCTCTGCCCTTTAAATCTGTGAGTTAAGAGTTAAGACCTGCCAGGGTAAGACGCACTCACTACTCCTGGTTTTGGCAGGCCCCTACGACGTGCGAGTTGAACTGCACTACGATGATTGTAATGTCGTCTCTGTACATCCGAGCGAGCTCTTCAGGAAGACTGAGCATTTTGGAGAGGCGCTCGTGATCGACAGCCCCAAACTCGTTGTTGCCCACAGCATGGCGGATAAGATGGGTGGCGGCATTCTGGTCCTCAAACACCGACGACATCTTGGCTCTCCTTTCTGTTAAAAGGCCATGCATCTGTCCCAGGGTCACCTTGTAGCCACCGACAGCTATGGGCTGCTGGTGATGCATGCCCGTCAGGTGCTCGCCCACAATCCTAACCACGTCCTGCCGGTGCATCGTCTCCCACAGCCCATCAGTAGCCAGTACCAGAAACTTATCCTGTGGCCTTAATCGATGGTAAGTTACCTCGGGCTCAGCAGTGAGGTAAGGAGGTGTGTAATAATTAGGGGGGATGAATTTGGTGTATTCGTTGTCATTCAGCTGGTCTGGGCCAGATTCTATCACTCTCTTTTGAAGGTCAATGCTCCATTTGAACTTTACGTCTCCAAAAGCCCTGAACGGCATGAGCAAGCCCAGCAGCCGGTCCTGCTTCACCACACTCTTGGCCTCATTCTTCGGGTGCTCCAATTTCAGCCGTTCCACTTCTCGTTCATTCTGAGCATTGTGGTCGTTAGACAGAGTGACTGCTGACCAAGAGCCGTCCTCTTCCTGCACACCCAGCATGGCTCTGCTGTCACCAGTATTGGCCACATGAAGGTCAACACCATCCACGTGGGCCACACACGCTGTGGCCCCAGAAAATGCCACTCGAAGCACCAGGTAGTTGAGGAAAGAGTTGGGGTCCCCGACTTGAGCCTCCAGGGAGATGTCATTGTCGAGCCTCTTGAAAGCATTAATCAAAGCCTCCTTGACGTCAATGTCCGTCGACTCCCCAGTGTTGAGGTCTATAAGCTCTTGCCAGTAAGTCCTCAGGCTGTTGAAGTATAATTTGGACGCCTCCTTACTGAAGTAGTCGTTGGGGTGTTTGTGCCACTGGAGAATGGGGAGCAGCGCTCGACCGCTCTCCACCGCGTTTTCAATCTCTAGCAGAGTCTCGTGGGGTAACAAAGAGACAGCGATGTAATAGAAGAGTCTTTCACTGACCGCCTGGGAGCAAGCACAGCCTGCGTGGCCGTCAAAAACCCCCAGGAGCATCCCTCTGGTCTGCAGGCAGGTGGCTGCGCTTCTCCGGTCCTCGATGGGTGCGTTTGCAGGCAGCTGATTGCTGTCAAAACCAAGGACAGAACTGACATTTTTGCCGTCAAATTCTGGCACTTTGAAGCTGTATTCATTAGCTTTCAGGATGCTGTTGACTTGCGGAGGGGTGAGGTAAAATTTCTGCGGTGTGGAAGCGTACCTCCTCCCTTGGGTGTACTGCCACCAGCTGTCCTTCGGCCTGTAAAAGGTAGCATACGCCGGATGGGGCGTGTATCTCAGGCGACTCTGAGGAATGTAAGGGGGTGAGCAGCAGAGATGTTTGTGGTGGCAGTAGCACGCAGTGCCATAGATTCTGCTCAGTTCACAGTTACGGATCAGAGGGAAAAACAGTTGGGTTGGTGCTGGCATGGCATCGGAGAACAGCGGCAGGCTGGAACTTCTGACTGGGATTCCTAGACAGCAAATTACACAGGTACACACAAAGAAAGAAGTTTACCTTTAGATTATTCCATCTATTTTTGCTTTCTTAAGAAATATTTAGCAGGTGAGCCTACACGCTCCCTGGGCTAGGAGGCACTACATTTCACACGTGTATCATGTACTAGTTCCACAGGATACATTCCGCTAAGCACACCTCCCAATCACTTACGGAGCCAGGACTGAACTGCGAGGCTAGCTTTCCTTTCTCTTCTCTTCGTATTTCTCTGTGCAGCACAAAATGTGCAGAATGTACAATAGATTTGGCTGGGGAGAGCGGGGGAGATGAAGGTTACATAACATTATGCAGTGGCAGCCTACCTAGCCAATCGCCCTTCTCCCCATCCTTCACAAAGGCCGCGGGTCCCCCACAGTGCACAGGGACTCCTCCCACTTAGGAGGATCCTGTTTCTAGACCTGTTGACCAATGTCAGCATCCGATTATACACCAAAAACGTGTTAGGATGCAGTCCCAACCTGCCTGTAGTCATGAATTACTTCTAAGTTATGTACATATTCTATATATTAATATAACAACCACTGCAACATATGTAAGAAAGGTTTCACATAATGAATAAAAACATAAGTTCTAATGCGTCCATCCCAGCAGATGGTCTCGCAAACAATGCCTCTCCAGACCACCGTGCCAATGTGGTAAGTTTACGGACACGGGTCTGCCACCAATTCACCGCATAATCCTGGAAAAGCAGGCTCACCTCTTTGAGCTTCACTTTCCTAAGCTGTGAATGAACACATGCTACCTGAGGCTGCTTCTAAGACTCTGTGCCTTTATAAAAACTGTGTGTTGAAGTCAGACTTTGAAATCAAATGCAGATTTTATTTATTCATTAATTTTACTGTGCCCTCTGCGATAAAAAAAAAAAAGATTAAGTATTCCAGTAGCTTTAAAACTTTGTTAGTAATGTAAATGGTCTCAGTTCTGGAATTTAATTTACTGCTAGCATTTTCTTCTGCTTATCAGCCATAAGAGAAAGCTACAGAAATATGACTTTTGCCTATTATGAATCCCCAGAACTCACCCGTAGAAAAATATTTTCTCTTACATTAAAGAAAAAAAGGTATCTATTTGCCCTTGGAAATTAACAAATAGTGAAATAGTAGTCTAATAGTCTAAGGCTTAGATAAAAAAGGTACAGTATTATAATCATGACTATATCAAAATCATATCACTTACTATGTGACACTGAAAATATTTTGCTGGGTTTTTATGTAGAAAATTTAACGAATGTACAATTAATTCAGGTAATTCATACAAGAAAAAAAATCTCTTCTTCCTTATTATTGAGGAGATCTTCTCTGAGTTCTTGAAGTATTGCCCCAAAGTATTAATTTGGCCTATAAATAAACAAGCTTTAGAAATATTTTAAATAAGGAAACAAATGCAATAAACAAAAAGGAGTAAGAAAGATAAAACCATTGAGTCTTAATATCAACTATTCCTTCCTAAGGTTGAACACATTAAGCAAAAATTACAAATACAGACAGTGTTAGCTCTGTATTACACTGTTTTCACGTACCCTCTCTTGAAGAACAGTTTGAAAAGTGGTAAGTGGGATGTGAGGAGGGGAGCAGAGAAAGCACTGGGTAATGACTGATTCTTGTTTGCTTCTGTAATAAGCACTACATAAACCAGTTATATAGAACCCCTTCTGCAAATGACAGAATACCATTATTTTAGCTGCACAATTTAAGGGATTTGTTTACAAAATTGAAGACAAGATTAGGCAACAGAAGGTAATGATTAGAATTTTGAAAATAAGACCAATAACTAAGCGTTCTGAAATGCAATAATGAGACATAGAAATTCCAGTACAGGAATCTATCAAGACCAACCACTTAAATAACAGCACTTCAAACTGAATACCTGAAAGTCATCCAAAGGTTAAGTGTACATGACTAAGCCAGGAGATGTGCTCAAATGCTGGGCCACATGACACTGGCTTCCAGACATAAAACATCTCTCTTGCCAGGTCTGTATGCAGAAAGCACATTAATTCATTTCATGCTTTGTAAAAGATTATTTCTATTACTAAAAATGTAAACAGATACTAATCTTAGTAAGAGAAATTTTTTCCGTAACTTTATATAAGTTTGCATTTATGCTCAACTTAAGACTTAATCTTAAGAGGAAAAAAAATGCACATGTTACTGCATGGATTGTAAATTGAATCAAAGTACAGCAAGCCCACGTGTGCGTGTGTTTGGAGAGGGGTCTGACAGACATGCATAACAGGATTTGGCTATATGACATCTGATCAAGGAATAACAAATCCATGAAACCGACATCTTCCTTAAATTCCTTTGTTTTGATAATTCTTCTGCTTTCATAATTGACAGGAAAATGAATGAATTACTGTGGCAAAATAATCGATTCTGGCAGCAGCTGCTTTGAATAATACGGAAATGGAAATTCAACAGCAAGTACTCAAATAAATAATATACATTTTTCCTTGACGGATAAATTCTCTACACTGAAAACAAAAAGCAGAGAATGAATTTTATCAACTCTATCTTTCAGTTACTCAGGGGCTTAGCATATGGACTGAGATGCCTCAACTCCCAAACACGCTTTCAAAAGACAAATTCTTAGGGAAGTTACCTACTCTGTAGTTAATGAACATTTTGTCACCACCAGTACAAGTGACATACTCTCTCCATCAGACCAGTTACTCTTAGAAGTCAAAGTACTTTCAAATGCTTTCATAAACCGTAAGTGAGCATTCAAAATCTCCGAGTTTCTTTCTAAATATCCTGAATATCCAACAACAAAACCCCATGCAATCAAAATTGTTGTTAACAGTTGTTGACAAACTGATGTCAACTGTTACTGACAAACTTGCTAAATGAACGGAGGCTCTTGATTAGGCAGTAAGAATGAAAGCACGGCACGGTACAGCTGCGGTAACCTGGAGCGGTGTCAAATTTTCAAGGTATTTCCGACCACAATTTCACTAAAAAGTTCCTATCCCGAGATGCAGACTTAGCCACCTTATATGCAGCATCTGGTCTTAGGCAGATTTTGCCAATGACTAATAAGATGAGCTGCACCCAGAAACAGGAAAAGAGACCCATCCACTCTTACTGATGTGCTCAGCAGAGCCGGTGCCAAGAAATGATTCCAGTTCATCAATAAACTCAAGAACAAATTAATTAGAGAACGCTATTACCACACCAATAACAGAGCTCTAGCTTTGCAGAGCTTTTCTGAATGGGAAGAAAAATTCTATACTAATCACTAAATGTGTCAGAACCCCAGTTTATGTAATCCGATTGCATTAAACACCCTGCAAAAAGACTGCGATTTTTCAGCATTTGGGGGCAAGGTCTAGCCATTTCACAGCTTTGGCTATTTCTACACGAATGAAGAACCAGTTGCCTTCGGAAGACACGAAGCCCCAAGACAGCACTTGTTTGATTAGCTTCCTTTGTCTCTACCTGAAAATTGCACTCACTAAGGCATCAAAGCTATCCCGGTCCAGGATGCTTTTGTCCCGCTGTTGTATCTACCTCACCTCTTAATTCCACACCGACCCACGTTTAAAACCATGCACACAACAAAATCAGTCACCATCCTTCCTGGGTACCCAACGCAGGTAGTTAAGTGAATACCTACCAATTCGTCTGGGCCCGGGACACACACACATTCTCCTGTCATCACAACACGGAGCCGACAACATCCACAACCCGCGCGGGCAGCAGCAGCGACAGCAGCACCGGCCCATTGAAAGCAAGGAAGAGATGCTCATTAGAGGAGGCGGCGGCGGCGGGGGAGGAGAGAGCGGAGGAGGGGCGAGGTCTCGCTCCGGCCCGGTGAATGGGGCTAGGAGGGGGAAGAGGATGGAGGAGGGAGAAAGGGGTGGGGAGAAGAAGGAAATCAAAC